ACATTAAGGTTGTTCATCCCTGGAAGTTTAAGCAAAAATCTGCCATCCGGGTTTAAGATAAGTTGCGTTCACAAAATTTCTACATAGTATATAGTGAAAAAATCAACAAAGGGCCATAATTCTGTTAAATTTGGTCGCAGCGAAAATTCCTTCCTTTACTACCATCCACACATTAAGGTTAATCATCCCCTTAAGTTTAAGCAAAATCTGCCATTTGGTTTGAGAGGAGTTGCGTTCACAAGATTTCGGGACGTACGGACGGACTGACGGACGGACCGACGGACGTTCTCACAGGACAGTAATTATGTGGCTACTCTATTGTTCTCTCTATTGTTCTTTTTAGCCACACAAAAGAAAATAGCCACATAAAAGCATTACGGAATGAATGACATCAAAGAGAAAGAACAGTTACCTATTGTCCCTCTAGCCACATAATTACTGTCCTGTGAGTGCGGATGGACAGACGGACAAGTGCTACGTTTAATGCACCCCACTGTGTGGGGGCATGAAAACAGCAGTATTGTTAAATATGTTGGCCTAATATCAATATTGTCTAACAAATAAACAACCATATCCTTAACTATGTTGGCCTAATAACAGTATTGAATGTCCAAGACACAAACAAGTATATTCTTATATAAGTTTGCCTAATATTTATATTTTTCAAGACACAAACAGCAATATTTTTACCTATATTGGTCTCACGATTCAACAATGTCCAAGAAAAAAAAATTAAAATTCTTAACTATGTTGGCCTACCATCAATTTAATGTTCAGGAAACAAATATTATGACCACTGATTAATTAACAGGTCACCTAAAATTCTGTTAAAAGTCACTTTAAGACCATTACTTACCCAGCTCAGCATTTATAGCTTCCTCATTGTTTATGTGCAATGGAAACAGAAAAAATAGGAAACAAACAATTTCAGGTTGATGATTTTTTTTTTTTTTTTTTTTTTTTTGGCAGATGATGATAAATATGTGATTATTCATTTCAAATAAAAACTAATCACAGCAGAACAGCTGAAGAATCTTATCAGTAAGAGCAAATTGGCAAATCAGAGGAAGACAAATTAAAGCTAAATCTGTCAATTTTATCTCACCATAAAACCCAACTATCAAACTGTCTTCAGAAGATTGCGCAATGATCTCTCTGAAGCTGAGCTGATAGGTCTTATATGCCTAGGAGTGATATATCACCTTTCAACTGTTTTGTATTCCAAAATTGTTCCCTTAAATTTCTTAAATTAAATTTAAATTAGGATTTATACAGAAATAGAATAAATCAAGGCTGTAAGTTGTTTTCGAGCTTAAATCTTACTGGCATAGTGAATAAACTATGAAATGGTCCATCTTATTGAAACTGTTTATCTATTGAGGTCTGTTAGCCTGCTGAAGGCAATGGGTTTTATCCTATTTGATCAGTGCAGACCACAAGCCAGCCGTCTAGTCATGGTCAGCACAGACCACTATTTAGAAAAGCATATATTTTACAAATTTCCCTAAAAAATAATGAACAGTTATGTCAATCTTGAAAGATACAATAGGCCAGATGAAAATTCTTATGGCATTATACAATAGGCTCATGTCATTGTACGATAGGGCCATATGATACCTTTCACAGCATTATACTAAAGACCATGATTGTGATAATAGTCAAAACAATAATTATAGATTACAGATTATAGCTCTCACAGCATTGTAAAATAGGCCAGATGATAACTCAAACCAATATACAATAGGCCAGATGATAGTGCTCACAAAAATATACAATAGACATATGATAGTGCTCACAACAATATACAATAGGCCATATGATAATGCCAACAACAATATACAATAGGCCAGATGATAATTCACAACAATATACAACAGGTCAGATGATTAAAATGCTCACAACAATACATAATAGGCCAGATTATAATGTCCACAGTATTGTACAACAGGTCATATATACAGGAAAAGTAGTTTAAATATCTGAAAACAATTCTTTTTTCCTTTTTTTTACTGCTGCTATGCTTTTTTTGACAGTGAGTGAGTAAGCAATCTGATATGAACTGTATATTATCTCATGTTGTTTTTCTTCGTCCCATAAGTCAACCGAGACATGCCAAAACAGTATATATATTAACTTGTTGTGATGCTACACAAATGATATATGGATAGTTCTTAATGCTAAATCAACATGTTTTATTTATTTATGTCGCTTTTATTGTCAGTATAAACAAAACATGTCTGGAAAGGTAAAACAATATTGATATTTCATCATGATACAAAGACTGAGCTTTTGATTGAGATATGGCTATTTTAGACAGTTCTGTAAGGGTCTATACCGTTCCAATGTCTCCTTGTGTAATTTAGTTTGTCTGGTGAATAATATTCGGATGATAACTTCTAGATTCATTTTAGCTGTTAATAATCTAATAAAGTTTTAAGAGGGATAGCCAAAGCTGACCTGCTGATTTTTTACACAGACTTGTTTGGAAACTGTTCATTACAAAGTTGGTCAGCCAACAGTATAGAACTTGGTGTAGGCAGAATGTGTCATTTATAATCTTCAAATGTTGTATCACAATAAGCATCATGGTCAAGAAAAATTCTCTAGATCAACTACGGAAAGAAGCATGTTCAGGGACGGACACAGCCCCAATCCAACATTTTTTAGTCGGGCAAGTAAAAAAAAAAAAAAGTTTCCTCTTCAATTTTAATCTAAATTGTGTCACATCAGCACAAATATATTGAAACAGAAACTGACTTGTATTGAGATGACTAAAATCAGAACTGACATATATGATTCAAATGTGCGGCATAAATGCAAGAAAACAACAATCAAAACAGAGCTTAATATAGCAATCTCATCAAAACAAAGTGTGATTTTCTTCTCATTGTATGGAGAGGAAACAATATCTTTTATTACCCAATAAAATTTCATCTAAAACCCAATTTGAAACACATCATGCTACTTAATTAGACATGATGGAGACAACATATCCGGGCCTGCAAGTTTTCTAATGTCATAAATTTTCCCCACAATATCATTTCAAAACTTGTCTCTCTCCCTCAGAGTGCATTCAATATAATATTGCAGGCATGTTTCAGATAATCTTAATATCTTCCAAACAGGATTTATATGTACTTTTTTGGAGTGCCTTCACCTTTGGAATATCATAGGAATACGCACATTCACTATAAAAGAATCTGTAACAGAATTATCCATAGTCTTGAGGATAACTACATTGTTAGGGCCTAAAAGTCAGGGCTGGCCAATTCAACACCATAAGAAATCCAACAAGTCATATTTACACTACTTTTTATATTTCTTTCCAAAAAAAAAAAAAACTGCTTGGTCTTGTGCACTTGTATATAAATAAGTTAAAAACAATTTTTTTTTTCAATTAAAAAATAATTGCATAAAATTAGTTTCGGAATAAATTCTAAAGGATATATAAAAACATTGATGATTTAGGTAGGGCTGTTGCCCGGTATGTTGTTATAATTTGTATTAATCATGTAACCTTACACGAATATATGTATAAAATAAAATATTATTAAATTAAACATATACATATTTTTTGTGTGCAAATTCTGACTCTTATCCCACTGAATTTGTGTATTGGACTTGTCCAATATTGAATTCAGAATCACAGCATGTAAAATTTGACATTTTTCTAAGACACAATTTTGTCTTTATTGCCAGATCACAGTTTGACAAACACAGTCAAAAGTACATAAATGCCAAAAGTACACAAATATGTCTGGTTAAAGTCATAAACCACCTAGTCCTATAATAACAAAACATAGAATATTTGTAATACCAACTGATGTTCCTGTTGTTTATTTGAAAAAAGCAGGAAACCTAACATCACTATGAGAAAAAGTTGCAAAATTTATTATTAGCCTCAGGACAATAACCTTGACCCAAATGACCTGAAATCCCTAGCAAGGGTACTTTTTAACCATAGCACTGGTACCAATGCTCCAAATATTTGATACTCAACCAATAAAAGGGTGCTATATGACAGAAGTCAGGACAGAGTTTAGAATGGATGAAAGTACAGATTGACAATTGGCACGAAAGATTGACAGACTGCATGACAGAAAGATGGAGGGTATGACAGAGTGGTGGAAGGAAGGACAGTTAGGGAAGGAAGGTGAGTGAAGGAAGGAAGAACAGAAGGCTAGAAGAAAAGACAGAGGGATGAAAAGAAGGTCAAAAGGCAAGAATAAAGGACAGAAGGATGGAAGGAAGGTCAGAAGGCAAGAAGAAAGGACAGAAGGATGGATTTAGGAAGGTCAAAAGGCAAGAAGAAAGGACAGAAGGATGAAAAGAAGGTCAGAAGGCAAGAAGGAAGGACAGAAGGATGAAAGGAAGTTCAGAAGGCAAGAAGAGAAGAAAGGACAGTAGGATGGAAGGGAGGTCAGGATGCTATATGGGTTGATGGAAGAAAGGACACAAAATGGTTGAAGGAAGGAAAGAAGGTAGTTTAAGATGGCATGAAGGTCAAACAAGAAACTACAGTATGTTCCACTGAAAATTTCCATACTACATCTTTACTGAGGAAACTAAATTTCAATCTATAATGATGGATTATTAGTAAGGAAATCTTTCTTACAGTTATTCTTGTAATTTATAAGACACTTTTTCAAAACCATTTTTTTAAAGATTTATTTTTAAAGCATTATACTTTGAAAAAATTATTTATCCATTTCTCAACAGTGAACTAAATTTTCTGCAATTTGTACTCATATTGCACTACAATTATCACACTTATTTTCCTTATGTGACAATATTTCAAACTATCTTGTCTTATCTACAAACTCACAGGGAATATTGAACCCCTATACTTAAACATGAAAGTATTGGAACAACATTTCAAGTATTCCTGACAAAACAAAAATGCTTCAAAACAAAAAACCCACAAAAAAATTAATGCTTCAAAACTCTTTTTTTTTTTCTAATATAAAACAGAACAAAATCCCACATCAACATCAACAAACCTTTATCCCATTAAAAACATAGTTATAGAGATTGTCAGTCCAACACATGATGAATTACCAGAACTGTTTTCAAATCAAAGACGTACAACAAAATGATGGTTATCTACATAAAGGATTTAGGAATGATCCAAGACAGGCAAAAAGTACAAATAAAATTCTATTTCTTCAAACAAAAAAATAACTGTTGAAGCGTAATCAAAATTATATTTGTCAATGTTATCTAAGGCATAAAAAACACTTTGGTATCTTTTGTTTGAAAGGTCTTTAAGTAATAGTAAAAAAAAATGTCAGTAAAAACAAATCAAAATTGTATTTGTCAACTTTATCTTGGCAGAAAAAAAAAACACAACAAGATTGGCATGAAAGATTTTTGTTTGGAAAGTGTTTTTTGTTGTAAAAAAAATTAGTACCAGAGAAATCAAAATTGTATTTGTTAATGTTATCTAGGCATAAAACAAACCCCACAACAGTTTGGTATCTTGAATTTAATCAATGGCAGAAAATCTCTGGAATCATATACATCAAAACCCTTTGGATCTATATATTCCTTCAAAGAAACAGGAGATGTTTTAACAAGTTAGATACTTATACTTCATGTGAATCATAATTATTTTCCACATTTTCACTGGTGTCTGGTTGGAATTCAGTCTTCTAAATTTCTTCTAAATTCAACAAATACAAAAAATTAAAGAAGTTGTCAAAAAATCAAGTCTTTTCTATAAATACAGGATTTATTTTCATTTTGTGATATGAAAATTATCATATTTCACTCAGGTTTTGCGACCACAGCCACTGATGAAATATTTTCATACCATTTCATAAAAATAAAACCTGTATTTATAGACAAAAACGATATATTACAGCAATAGATTTTTGCTGAATCAAAATGTACATACCACCAGCCTGATATGAAACTCTTACCTGAAAATATAAAAAAATAAATATGCAATAAATACAAACAACAAATTACATTTAAATAGATATATAATTATTATATACTCATAAACAAGAGCAACGTATGCTCCTATCTACATGTCGTTATGCTTTCTACACTTCATTAATTGGACTTGTGATGTCAAGGTTTAAACCGGCCAATCAGAGCGGGGCTTTAGTGAGTGGTAAAAGATATTCATAAATGTAGACATAAAAGATACAAAACTTCAGTCAAGTCACTCAGCACCCGAGTGAGGACCACTGGTCATCAGAAAGCTAAATTTATGATTCTATTTTTTAATAAACTGTTAAATTCATTAGATTACACATAACATTTTACATCATTTATAATTACAACAAAGTCTGTTGTTCTTACAGATGTTAAATCACTTATCTACTTTGTTAACAAGGTTTTTTTGTTTGTTTTGCCTTTGTTCTACTCTTCCTAAAGACAAAACATTTAGATTATCTTATTTACAGATTCCTATCTTTTTTACACAATCTGTAACTGAAGTAACAATGCTCCTGTAAATAAAGGTAATACAATGAGTGCATGTATAGAACAAAGTGCAGATTCTTGAAAAATGAAATGGTGAATCTATCATAATATATCTCTTCTTCCTTCTCTCTGGCGAGAACTTTTATATAAAATAAATTCATGTGAATTTTGACATAAATGAAATCTTTTTTAGTTAAATGATAAGTGAATATTGACATAATAGTAATCTTTTTTAGTTTCTTGAGAAAATAATATGAAAATATTAGCACAGATGAATAATCTTCTTAGTTTAAAACATGAATTTTGAACACAAGAAATGTATCATTTTGATATCTTACTAATATATTTCTTGAAAAAAAAAAAATATTGTTGATAAAAGTTCTAAGTGATGTAGTATGAACATTTATATGATGAATAATAACATTTTGTTCTAGAACATTTTATATTATGGTATTTATAGATATACATATATATAATATCATGTATCTCACACAAACAATATCCATATAAAAATCTTTCTTCGTTTGTCCTTGCATATAATACTAAATTACATAACAACATGATTATTTATGGTATAACAGACCAATTCATTTTAATTAGGTCTTGAATTTTCGGAATTTTAAACATTTTAATGAATATTTAACAGTTCTTGAAATAAGCAAAACACATGTTTGGGACTTTATAATGGAGCAATTAACTCTGTAAACTTTATTGTCATGATTTGGTAAGTTGAAGTTTCAAGAATTTTTAAGCATGCATGACTTGCAGAATAAGAAATTTAAGTTAGAATTTATTAATATTTTATTAAAATAAATCTTTTTTTTTTTTTTTTTTTTTTTTTTTGGGGGGGGGAGGGAAATTGTACAAAATTTATTTTGGTAAATATTGTGGCATTGTAGCCGGCAATATTTTGTTTTATGTTTTTGATCAACCTAATATTATGCTAATATGTGATCTAATAACATATTTTGGTTCTTTGGAAAGCTGAGGGGGATAGACTGAAATTAGTTTTGGTCTGCTTCTTCAGCTTCCCAAAGCAATATCACTTAGGTGTGAAATCCTTTGATGTAAAAACTTAGAAGCTGGTCAAATGCACATGTGATAATGTAATATTAATTATGATAGACAGATTAAAGATAAAAAATATATTATTTGATTGGATAAATTCAAAAGGGGGCAGATACTTTGGTTTGGATAGAATTTTGGACATACAGATTTGGGGGAAAAGTTAGGTCAGTTTTGAGGTTTAAGTCTAGGTTAAGAAGGTTAGGATAAGAAAAGAAAATACATTGAGTAGAAAGATTAGAAGTGAATAAAAGGATTTAATTTGATATTGTAATAGATAATTGATAGTTAATAATAAGGTGGACTGGTGTAAAAGATTTAGTGAATCATATGGAATAAAAGAAACTGAATGTGGAAATTAAAGTTTGTTTTGTTATATAAAGTTATATCAAAGTTTTTATGAATTTCAAAAGCAATTGTGAAGTTAAGATTTTAAAGCTAATTCCCGAGTGGTCAGACCTAGAAAAGGGCGTCTGGCCACATAATGGTGGAGAATCCGGGTATTCTTAGAACTTTTATTAAATTATAATGTCAAGAAATAAACAATTGATAGCAACACCAAAATTTGAAAAAATGATAATGTAGACTTTTTTTTGGAGAAATTCGAAGAAAATTGGACCAATTAAATAATTGGAGCAAACGAAGAAAAGTGCGTTCAGTTTTGTTTAACTCTGAACCAAAGTGCTGAAAGCTTGGTATCTAAATTTAAATAGAGAAACGAAAGAATCGTTTGAACTTTTAAAACAATCTTTTAAAAGCAGGTTTTTCCCATAAGACTGACAGAGTTAACTTGTATGCAAAATTTATGAAAATAAAACAAAGATGGCAGAGATTATCTGTATACAAGAAAGAGGTGGAGACGTTAGGGAGGTTACTTAAAAAAAAACAGAGGATGAAATTATTGACAGAGTGATATTTGGTTTGGACAATAAACTTTAAACAACAAATAATTATTCGAGATATAACCAGTATCAATGAGCTGATCGAATTTGCGAAGAAACTGGACACTTTACATGCATCTGATGTTGAAACATTAAGTGAAGTATCCATTCCAAAGGATTATCGTGACAAACAACATACCGTGACGTACAATCCAAGGAGCAGGGAGGAAAATTTCAGAGCCAGGCAACAAAGACCAGGACCATACAGAGGGCGTCAGCAAGGAAAAGATGGACTAAAGTGTCACAGCATGTGGAAGGTTTATTGGGCCATGGTTTTTCTTTTTCTTGTTATCGCAATAAACGTTGCTTTTACCTGCCAAATAAGATGGGATCATGTTGAAAAGTTTCCCCCCCCCCCCCAAAAAAAAAATGTTTTTTAAAGAGTTAGGGGTGCGAGCCCGTCTCACTAAAAAATTGGGGGATGGGCAAAACATGGGTAAGAAGAAAAAGGATAAGAATATATCTATAGGGAAAAACATATTAAAATTGGAGATGAGAAAAATTTAATTGATGTAAGATTAGGAAATTTTTCTACTTCTGGTATGATAGACAGTGGTTCATCAATTTGCTGTTTAAACCTATGATATGTATAAAAGAAGTGGTCTGAGTAATCAATTTGATCTTTTACATTCAGATTTACCAAGTGCCCAATGTGCCAATGGCTCATCTATGAAAATCATAGGCAAGGTTGTTGTTCCTATATCTATATGCAGATTAACTTTAGTACAAACATTTTATGTCTTTAAAAAGTTTAAATCAGTCTGTTATTCTAGGAAAAGATTTCCTTACTAGAGCAAAATGCTACAGTTGATTTTGGTGAAAACATTTTAAGCATTCAGAAGGGTTTTTGATAGCTGTAAAAATGTTTGGGGCTCCATCTAAGTCCAGTTCTAGCAAGACTTGTCAAATAAAATTTCAGTGCCAGCTAGGATCTTGTGTAATAGCAAAAGTAAAAAGTGAAAGGGCAAAATCAAAATGGCTTTATCTGTTATTCAGCCTATAGAACTTTACCAAGCAAGGTTCAGGTTATAGGGCTAGGTCAATCTCAAATGTCCAGGGTAATAGAACTTTTATAGCAAATTTTAAATCCAACAAGTGAAGTGATGTATTTAAGGCCAAATGAACCAGTAGCGAGAGTTGAACGAAATTAGTGTTGATGATATTTGTGAGAATGAGTTGCATACTGGTGAGAAAATGCAAATGAATGAGAAATCAGACAGTGAATACATTGAGATTGCTAGGTCGCCATAGGCATTGATCTTACTAATTCTGACTTGACTGATGAAACAAAAATACAAGTTGCTTGTTTTTTCTTGGTAGAATAGAAGATGTGTTTGCTTCTAATACAGCCGAGTTGGGTCATTGTACAATTTTCCCTCATAAGATTGACACTGGGAATGCCCCTCCTGTTTAGAAAGAGGCCTTATAGGGTGTCGCCAGCCCAGAAGCAAGTTATTGAGGAGCAGTGTGAAGATATGGAAAGAAATGGTATTATAAGTCCTTCTATACTACACAATGGCAGAGTCCTGTGGTTCTTGTTAAGAAATCTTCAGGTGAATATCGTTTTGCTGTAGATTACAGGGCTGCAAATAAATCTATTAAATTTGAACCTTTTCCTATACCTT